GTCTGAAGATCAGTGAATTTTGTTGTCGATTTTATGAAAATCGTGGCCTATACGAGCTTTCTTTTGTGGGGAGGAGGAGTGAAACTTTGTTCATCTGGAGATTGACGAATGTTGTCATCAGTTTTGTGAAAATGGGGGGTTATACATGCCCGTTCTTGGTAACTCCATTTTTTGGACTCGTTAAAATTATTGGTGTCAAACTACTTGATCGATGCTTCACTTTTTGCAATAAATTAATTTTACTACGATATATTATACTGTCATGATAACTGTACTAAATTTGATTACTTTAGAATAACTGTTTCGAGAAATTAATCGATTGTGCAAATTTATGGTTCATAATACTTGTGAATTGAGACCGTACGCGATGTATGGAACGAAGGCGATACGTATGAGAAATAAATTTTCCTTTCACTAAACAAAAACAGGATTAATTTTTACGATTTTTGTACATCGTCATCTATAAGAAAAAAAGAAATAAATGGCAGGCCATTCCCGTTAACTCTATTTTTCAAGCTTGTTAAAATTTTTGATATCGGAATACTTAATTGGAACTTAACTTTTTGCAGTCGCAATAAATTTCTACCTTTATTTCGCGGAGTTAATCGATTTTGTAAATGAGCTGTTCGTAACATATTGATCGAGGCTGTACGTGATGATGGAACGAAGAAAATATGTATGAGAAATCAATTTTTGGTTCCTATAATTCTCACTCACGGTATCCTTTCACTAAAAAAAGAGAAACAGAATTAATTTTCACATTTTTTACACATCGTTATCCATGAAAAGAGTAAGTGGCCAATTATTGGAAGATTGCGCTCGACTTTTGTTTCCATCGTAAAAAGGAAACGAGGTGTTCACGTGTATTATTTCGCATGTCTCATCCTGTATATTTGTATTTTAATTCCTCGGAAATTTTTCGGTAAACGCAGTGGAACGGATGATTAATTTTTGCAAGCGAACAGCTGGCGCGGCCAAAGGCCTAAGCAAATCGTCATTTATTACGTTTGTCGGAATCACGGGGTATAATTATTACCGTAAGTATCTAGATCACTCGTTACTCATTTGCCATCGAAAGATTTTAAAGACCACACGTTGATTTCACGAGACTTTATCCCTCTTTCTACCAGTAATCAGCTCTACAAATATCCACTCTCGCATTACGCTCCTGTAAATCATGAAACACGGTCTCCTCGTCGTTAAATACCAGAACTACCAGCCTGGAGCACGTATCTAAACGTAATGCACATAAATGATAATAATTAAACCGACGCGATGAGAAAAATCAAGTATGTATAATTACGTTCCCATCTCGATAAGATGCAATTAATTTTGTCAAAGTCAGCTACATACGCGTTCCGATTACGGTAAAACCGCAAAGTAACGGTTCGCGAATTTTTATGACATAAAAACTGCGTTATCTAACCACCTGTGTGGAAATTTAAAATAACCTTCAAACAAGGTACCAAGAAGAAAAATAAATTACGATTTACCTCCATTTTACTTTTTAATAATAAAAAAATAGCGATCCATTTTAATTTTAAATACGAAGAGTTAACCTATCAACGACTTTGGCGCGAAAATTTGAAAAAGTTCGACCATAACCTAAAACTCTATAAATCATATGGGAAAAGAGAAAACTCTACATCAAATCGATGTCGTGTATACGTATTATACTTCAACGACACGAATATATCTCTTCGAGACAAATAATACCTAAAAATTCGCAGATCATTTTACGCTTTACCACGAAGACAAAGAGTTTCGAGTAGCGAACTTGGGAATATTTCTCCGCAGAATATACTCGATTAAACCACGAGACCACCCCACAGCCCCAGACCCCGCTGTTCGTCTTAGTACGTTGGAAGCGATCGTAGAAATTGCATCCAAAGATTCGTCATTGAACGAACCGGCTATTCGCGGTAACGATAATGCGAGGACGCGTTCCGTTTTAACGAAGATTCCCGCACAGAGGTAGCAAACTGCATTGTCCCTGGGTCTGCTTGATGGCTACTCGGTTCCCCGCGAGCAGCCGGACATTATCCGTGATTTACTCTTCAATTTCCGCGGGATTCCGCCACGCTCGCGGCTACCCTCCTGGACGCGGGTCGCGCGCGAGGAAACCGCAGAGGCTCGGTTGCAGCTGGAGCGAAAATGTCACTCGAGGACGTTATATAACGTAGTAGGAAGCGCGTGGTGGAAAGCAAAGGCCAGCAGACGATCCTCTGCGCTTTCTACCTTCGATCTTACTCTCTTACGGTAATTACACAGGCCCGCGGGGCCCGTTCGTGTATGCTCGATGCGCTCGCCGAGTGTGTGCGTGTTACCTGCACGGAGTGCGAGCTGCACTTCGTGTTCGCTGACGCGTGTGTGCGCGTGTGATATAGGTGTACGCCGAATGCACGTGCTGGATGGAAGAGTGCATTCGAAACCGATCGGTGTAGGTGAGGCGTACGTGGAGAGCGTTTCGTAACGGCAAGGAAAGGAAGACTCTCTGCGCCGTCGAAACGGGACGATTTCGTGCCGCTTTTATCGTTAATCGTACCTACGTGGGCAAAAGCGAGAGGCGATGTAAATTTCGCGGCAGTTGCGGCATCGCCGATTGCGCGATTGCGCCGCGCAGTTTTGACCGTGAATGGGAAAGTAGATAGGCCTCGGCGCCTGCTTCGCTTCGCTCTCGATCCACACGCTGGCTTCTAGATCGCGAAATTGTTCTGCGGGATTGAATCTTCCACGGGGCAGGCCTCGATGTTTCTTTCACTCGGATTTCGAGCAACAGGGTGCGGTTTAGATCGCGGAATCGGCTCGAGGTGGCGAATCTTCGACGCTGCTGGCTTCTGGGTTCCATGAGCTTGGATTTCGAGGCAGGAATCGGGTTTCAGATCGGGAAACCATTTTGCAAAGTCTAATGTTTCGCAGAGAATATTTTAGATGTTGATTGAACTGCATTTCGGTGCTCAGACTAGGTTTCGGATCGTGGAATCGTCTTCTGAAATTGGATTTTCGATAGTAGGAGTTTCGTCAGGAGGTTCACTTGGATGTTAAGTCACCAGACTGTTTTGAAACTTCGAATCTTCGATGGTAGAGGCTCTGGTTCTTGTTTAACTTGAATTACGATCCTCAAACTGCGTTTTTAACCATTTAAGTCACCAGACTGTTTTGAAACTTCGAATCTTCGATGGTAGAGGCTCTGGTTCTTGTTTAATTTGAATTACGATCCTCAAACTGCGTTTTTGAGAGCATTTGAGAAACTCGAATCTTTGATGGTAGAGGCTTTGGCGATTGTTCAACTTGGATTATTGAATGGTCCAACTGAATTTTAAATCACGAGACCATTTTAAAAGATCGAATCTTCAATGGCTGAGGCTTTGGTGTTCGTTTAGCTTGAATTTTGTTGCTCAGACGTGGTTTTAGATCGTAAAATCATTTTAAAGAATCAAACCTTTGATAGTAGAAGCTTTGGCAATGGTTTCACTTGGATTTCGATGTACAGAACGGATTTTAAATCATAAGACAATTTTACAAAATTGAATCTTCGATGGCAGAAGCTATGGTGTTCGTTTATCTTGAATTTTGTTGCTCAGGCATGATTTTAGATCTTAAAATCATTTTAAAGAATCAAACTTTTGACAGTAGAGGCTTTGGCAATGGTTTCACTTGGATTTCGATGTACAGACTGGATTTTAAGTCATGAGACTATGTAAAAAAAATCGTATCTCTTAAGCTAGAGGCTTTGGCTTCCATTTAACTTGGATTACGATCCACAAACTGGATCCTAGATCATGAAATCGTCTTATAAAATCCAATCTTTGACAGTGAAGGTTTTGATGTTTGTTTAGCTTGGATCTCGATGCTCAAACTGAGTTTCATATCATGAAACCATTCTGTAAAATTGAATTTTCGACGATACAGACTTTGATATTTCTTTGATTTGAATTTCAATGCACGTACCAAGTCTCGGATCACGAAACCATTCCATAAAATCGAATCTTTCACAGCGAGAACTTCAACTTCTGTGTGACTCGAATTCCAATGCCCAGACTAGATTGTAGATCGAGAAATCGCGTTTTAAAATCGAATCTTCGCCGGTGGGAATGATCGATAGTCGAAAGGGAAGGTATGGGTAGCATCGAGAAATTGCCAGAGCAGAGATACAGTTTCGAAACCGTTCGACTTTTTCCACCGAATCGCCACGAAGTTGCCAGCGCTCGTAATAGACACTCGAGGGGCCTTTCGCCTCCTGGGGCCGCTGAGACTTCCGTTTTCGCGAGACCCGCGCTGGAAAATCCCGCTGTTTTATTATGCCCATTAGAAAGAGGCCCGAACGGAATCGTGCTGCGTTTAATGCGGACCGTTTTCTCCGCGTAACGAGCCCGATAAATTCGCCTCGATATCGAACGGAAAAACAGCGACAGCGACGGGCTAAGGTAAACGCACCGGCGGAGTCTAATACGCCGTTCCAGCACCCAAATGTCAGACGTGAAAGCGATAGGTGCAGGGAGATCAAAACGTAAAGTGTCACGGATCAACTCTGATCTACGTCCATCTATTGTCTACGCTAGATCTCGAGTTCGATGACAGAATATTCAAACTTCTATTACCCATTTGTCACGATCCAAACTCTCAGCAACCGTGATATCAATCCTATGCGCTACGATTTAATTCCAACAAATTTTTGCCATTAGACAGCTCTCCTATTCGCGATAGAATCACGAAATCACAAAAATTTTAGAATTTCTCCAAATTTTGGGCACTATAGAATCTTAATCTAGTGACAAGTGTAACTCGTGACACGACTGAGAGATTTAAAGTGAAGAACTCGCAATGACTCGTCATTTTAATGAGAGGAATTAGTACCTACTCCGCTAAATAGAATAAACATAAAATTCCTCGATGATCGATGGAGTTTTACTCGCAATCAGAATTACCATTGGAATTCCAATGGAATAGAATTAGAGTTGCTTTGGAAGAAGGTATTGTAAGCGCGCTTTTGTTCACAGGCCACGTACGCGAGCGGATTCTTCGAGGTGCAGATCCTCTCGCTGACGAACAACAGGGGCACCCTGGTGGACGGTAGGTGTTGCGGCGGGGGAGGCGATGGCGGAGGAAAGGGTGGATTACCACCGTGCACGACACCGTGCTCGACGGCCTTCTGGCTCTGCCTGAAGGAATATCAGTCGAACGTCACCGCCATCGGCTCATGCAGCTTCGGCAACGTATCTAGTCACGCCCTCGGCCAGAACACCTTCACCCTCAGCGAACCGGTCACCCTGCAACTGCACTTCACATTCCGATGGACGGTGAGTAAATTTATTTTATTGTATACACTTCCTTCAAAAATCCCGTGTCCTTAAATACTCGATACTTCCTAGCACCACAATTTATCACGAACTATCAAAATTCGATATTAAAATTTTAAATGTCGAAGAGGAACGATCTCGTTTAAATACTAGAGTAGTCTAGGGAATTTCTAGAAAATACCGTTAAACATGGAAAAGATGGATTTCTTTAAAAATAATTTCCGAATGAATCACGCATACTTCCTCGAACATCGACGCGATTCCGACGAGAAAATATTTATCCTCCATTACGTTTTGAACAAACACGCTCGTTCCAGCCTCGAATTATCATAAACGGCATAACGATATTTTCTCAAGCAGAAGAATAGCCGCGTTCTCTCTAAAACGTGAAACGCTCAAACAAAATTAACCCGTTGAAACCAAAAACACCGCGTCTCGACCATCGACTAATTAAACCCACGCAATTATCCACTACCCGCCAACAGAACCTCATTTCTCCGCTTACTATTCCCAACTTCAAATAATCCACTCCCATACTTTCCCTCCGAGCTTCAGACGCGAAAATCCTTCTGTGAGTTCGTTAACACCGAGCCTACCATAGCCAGTTAAATAATTGCGAGAGGAATAAATGCAGAAGATTAAAAATTTAATTCGAGATTAAAAAATCATCATTAACCCTGTAATATGATTATCGTCATTTGGACGGGGACCAAGGGATTGTCAGTTTGAGTGGAAAACAATTCCAAGCAGGGTTGCCCTAAACGCAGCTGCCTATTTCGAACTTTCCCGCTCATAAACGATCACCGGAGACGATAATAATTCGCAAACGCGACGAAAGTCGAGTTCCATCGTGTTTCCTTGCCAAGAAGCACGCAGGAGGCTTCCAAAGCTATCAGCAGGTAGCCAGATCGACGATTCCACGGAACCCCGGGCCACGATGTTCCACACTCTGATCTCCGGCGGGTTTTCCGTGCTTAACGCGTACCCTCGAAAAAATACCGGGTCGGCGTGCACGTGTATTTGCTTTCCGTGTATATTTTTTTATTGCGCGCCCATGGCCCATAATTGAATTAGCTCGGGCAGCGCTAAATGCCCGAGGAAGCCTGTACACGCGCGTCCCGGCGAAGCTAGCCGCTGAGAGGAGAAAACGAAGGGAAAAGAAGGGAGGTTAGAGAAAAAAGGAACAGAGGGGAGAGAAAAGATCGTTCACGGAAAGGAAGCAATTTAGGGGTCTCTGTTTATGCCCCCTCTGGACCCTCGAGAGGGCACGGAACGAGGAAAGAGCGAACACGCCGGACCCACCCTTTGTCGCCGTGGAAGAAAACGGACCCCGCATGGGTCCTCTTAGAGCCTCACGAGCGAGTTATGAAATATACAAACACGCTAGTGCTCTTCAAATAATCCACGAGTGTGTGTGTGTGCGTCGGGACACGTAGCTCGCGCGTTTAATGCACGCAGACATATACGCGACCGCGAAAGGAGAGCTCGGTGGCTCGATTTGGTCCGTTAGGTCCCAGTGGAGGGCCCTTGACGTATACCCTGGCCGATGTGTATGTATGTATACCTCTTGCGCGCGGAAACACGTCGTCATGCCCGCTCTCGAGGATCCTCCGAGGATCTCTTCGGTCCCGCTCGAAATCGGCCGTTCGTCTCGACGTAATTACGCTCGACAGCGGCCTCACCGGGCCTGGTGACATGTCACGTGGGTGGGATGTTGGCAATCGTTTACTGGCAGCTTGCGCTGCTGCCACTGTTGCTGCTCGTTCTCCGCGACTTACGGCTTTTTAATTACGGCAAGATATATCGTCTCGAGTCGAGTGGCTCTCGAGGGCCCTGGTAATAATTGGAAAGCGACTTCTATAGTAGAGGTTCTAGTCCGTGTTGCTATGAAAGGAGCGAGCACGAGGTGAACCACAAGTTCGTGAACCGAACACCACGTTTTTCCAATTTCTGGCTGCCTTTCCCGGCATCTGTACGATGTATCCACGCACACGGACCGAGTGCTGACTGACGCAGACCACCCCCCTAACGCGAGAACTGACCAACAGCTGAGAACGACTCTGTGTACGAAACTACACCTGCGTACAATTGCTCGTTATAGGCGTGTTATTCTAGTGTCGAACGTATTCCAAATTAGACCGAAAAAATCCCGAAATATAGAACAGTATAACCCCTAGGATACAGAGAAACCGTGAAAATCTGATCTATCGTTTAGGTAGCGATCATTGGCGATCGTTAGGCCATAGTTCGTGAAATTCCTGACTCGAAGATCTTTATACGGTTCCACATGGACTGGCCAGGTCGTTGCAGAGAAGACGAACAGCTGGAATAAGATTGCCTAGTTAGAGGTCAGCCGAAAGGGAAGAAAAGGAGAGGTAGAGGAACACGGGCAGGCGTTGCCAAGCGACTGGAACCGAACTGGAATTCTACGTAACGACTGGCCGATAGAGGAGCAACAGACCGGAAATCCTTTGGATTCGATAGCTCTCGCGCGCCCCGCATCGACAAAGGAATCGGGCTAGAAATTTGCGATCGAAGTCGCGATACAATGCCGGCGTGGAAGTCTTTTTCCAACGGAACGACCGAGGCCCCTGTATTGTTGCGAAATTGCCGGCTCTCCGGGCCCCGCAGAGATTCACTCGGTTGCCTTCCGACGATTTCGAGAATGAGACCAAGAGGCCGCCGTTTAATAGAGCCAGGGGCGGCGCCTCTAAATCAGATTTCGCGCGATCTCGGCTTGAAAGAGGAACGCGGATGGACTCGTTTCTTTCCGCTTTCGATCCCTCGCTGCAAGTATTAACTTGCAATTCCTGCCTAACGAGAATCATCGTAATGGAGAACGAGTTTTTGCGAAATTAATAGATCATCGTTGCCGATATCGAGGAGCGTTGGTTCTGAAGAAATTTGGGTTCTTCGATTTTCCTAAATTCTTTACAGAACGTTTTCATAGAACGGGGATCGGTAAGCTTTTATTTAGCGAGTAACTCGTGATAAGGGATCTCTAATCTGAATTTTACAGGAAGCAGAGATTTATACCGGGATTGTTTTGTTATCCTATTCTAAAGTAAAATTTACCTTTCCTTGGTCTCTATTTAAAGAAAAAAGCCTGGAAACTTTCACGATTTTTCGTCGCAAAGGTACTACCCATGTTTCATAGAATCACAGTCAAGACAGACCTCGCAATCCAACGTCTCTAGCGAGTTACTCGTGATAAAGGATCCTTAATCTGAATTTTACAGGAAGCAGAGACTTAATACCGGGATTGTTTTGATGTCCTATTCTAATGTAACTCGTATCAGAGTAAAATTTACCTTTTCTTGGTCTCTATTTAAAGAAAAAAGCCTGGAAACTTTCACGATTTTTCGTCGCAAAGGTACTACCCATGTTTCATAGAATCACAGTGAACACATACCTCGGAATCCAACGTCTCCGCGTTGAAATATCTCCATCCAACGGAACTATCACGCGAAAGTATAATAGCACATCGATTGATTCTTCCATCTGCAAGATTCCGACCTCGAATACCGAGCTCTCGCCAATTTCCACGCAGAAGGCTAGGTGCATCATCGAGGGACCACCCGGTGGATAAAAATTCCTCTCGCATCAGGATTGGGACAAGCGACTGCGAGCCCGGGTATCTGAAACGGAGCCTAGACCCTCGGATAATCTTCCTCTGGAGCGACGCGTGTGCTCCGCGGTTCAGGCTACGCTCGGGACTATAGTCTTGCAGCTAATAAGCACGCCACTCGATACCGGTTCGAGCAACGAAAGAAACAAACAAGCATACGTATATCTGGCACGGCGAGTAATCGTCCTTCGACTTTCTCCGTTTGCGATTTCAATAGCGACGTAAAGAGGCATACGTAAGAAGGGGGTACACAGCCGCCTTTTCAGCGGTAGCATAATGGCACAGGAAACGATCAGCGAGATGAGAGTTAGCCGAGCTTTTGCACAATCCTGGCCGGCGTCTATGTGTGTCTTCCGAGCAGACGCCGCGTTTCGAGTCTCTCCTTTCTCCAGCCACGTGTCCCTCTCCATCTTAGCCCAACCTGCATCTTCCTCGTCCCGTGTTCCTTCCTCGGCTCATCCTTGTCTGCGATCCGCATGCCCCGTCGTTTTCCCGCTCTTTTCACCGATCCGAACCGTCGCTCTTTCCCACACCGATCGCTCTGCACCCCGATCTTCCAGCGCTTCCTCTCGCCATCGTGCCCGCGGTGACACGTACGCGTGGAAGACGGCGTCGCGACGAAACGCGAATAGGTGGACCGATCTATTCTTGGCACAATATCCGCGGCTCCTCACAGCCTCCGATGTGGGCGCCTCTATCAATGATGTGACGTCACGGTTGCTGGGCCCACGTGGACCTCACCGGGCATTGTGTCGACTGAATTAGCGAGTCGCCGGCTGGCTCGACGTGTTGGCTTGCTCGAGGGTGGCGAGATTGAAAACTGCTGGATGATTCAATTGGAGGCTGTTGGCGAGGGAATATAGGCAACCGGTGTAACGTGCAGTAATATGGAGATAAATGTGTGGGGTCCGGTGAACCACGTAATTGACTTGTTTTCCGAAAATGGCTCGAGGTGCCGAGTAATCCGAGCTTGCCAGCATTTAATTCCATTCTCTTCGCGAGATTACACGGGGGTTCGTGTTGAGATTCTTTTACGATAATATATTTTTTGATAAGGAGATTAGGAGACACCGGGTACTCGCGTATATATGGTAAGATCGCGATATAAAATAATGGAATAAAGATAAAAGGTGTGAAACGTGCCAACTTCTCTGCTGACTGAATGGAACTGTGAAAGCGAAGAGGAAAGACTCGAATGCATCATGTCCTGCAATTCTCGCAATCTAGGAACCTCAGACAAGTGGAAATTTGTTTAATTCCTTAAAGACGAAATTACTTTATAAAATTCGCTACGTCTGATAACGCAGCATGATCAAAATTAGGGAAAACGTGATGATCTGGAGCGGATTCTTGATAACGCGAGGTACAGAAA